TAAACATTAGATTATATTTGAAATAGATACATAATCGTATCATTCCTATCGGATTAACTGTAAATAAATTCGAGTACTATGCCAAAAGATGACCACCGTGTAACACGCAAAATAAACGTTCGCTGTTTAAGTGTATGGCTATTTTGCATGTTTATAATACAGTGATGTTGAGCAGAGTAAAATGACGCTATTCGTCCCTGGGTTTAAATATATTTTGATGAAGTCTGCTAGTACTTTCATTAACAGGGGGCAGTTTTCTTTTCAAAATTTTAATTTAGAAAAAATGTTTGTTATTTTCCATGAAATATATAAATCTTGAAGAAGTCAATCCATTTTTGACAGTTGAGTCCTTTACTACCACGTCATTATTTTTCACCCGGCATCCATGTACTTCATAATTCTACCTTTCCCAGAAACGCAGAAAGCAACATAAACAGTGAGTTAGATGTTAGTTAAAAATATAATGCAAAGTTAAGACAAAATTCCTTGAACTTACAATCAACAATATCAAGATCCGTTTTCTTAATAAATGTGCACAAGTGCGAGAATGTGTTAAGGTGTGAGAATGTGTTAAGTCAAATAGAGGGGGGGGGGGCACAGAGGCTTGCGGCTAGACTATCATGTTTAAAACCAGTGAACCTTTACAAACAGGGCAGGTCTTCGTCAATTTGTGTCATGTTTTTTTGATGAAGGAACGGAAATCCTTATTTGCCTTAACGGTTATTACGAGTACGAATTGACTGGGGTATAAACTAAATTAAATATAATATTAAATCGGCGCAGGCCCATGGTCAGCATTGTGGCAATTACATCCACCAGTATTTGCCTAAAAGCATTTGATAACCGCATCCCCGAGAGTGCCCGAACGAATGGTCAGTACGTGCGTATGAATCGAAACATTTGATCCTGACATTTCTCAAGCATGATTTCATGTAGGTGTTCTGTCACTTATTGACCCATGCACTATGGACAATCAATTCCCAGAACCTGAAGATCAATCTATATTTGATTGATTTATTTTTACTGAGCAACGACTTGCTATAGTGAAATACTTAACGTCGTGGGACCAATGCGGCCGCTTATGTACTCTATCATGCACAACAAGGGAGTTGAACCATGTCACGAGTAAATTGAACATCGTTGGCCATACGCATTCTGACTTTTTAAGTCACAAAATAAACCCCAGAATAGACCTTTCCGACGACATATACGACCGTGATTGATGATCGAAAGTAAAAACAATAGCAATATACGGGCAATCAGTCTCTCACAAATTCTAGGAGGCAACGCAGGAGTTTCTCTTGAAGGGAACGAATGGTCGTGATCGGCATACCGAACAAGTGGAACGATCTCATTTGAAGCACAAATATTTGGAAATTCAAGAATAATGTTTAAAAAAGAATGTAACTAAGACAATTGCTAATAATCAAATAGGAAACTTCAAGGACGTTAGTGTTATATATTTGTTTAAATAATTGTTAAATAATTTCTGGTCTCTCCGTAAAAGGTTGAAAAGCAATATGGTCACTTTAATTGTGGTTTTCTTCGGGTTTACTGCCTGATGTTTCCGGAAATATGTATGTCTAAATTCATAAGATCGTAATTAGCCATCGGTAACGTATTATACAAATGAACGCCGGGTACTTGTTTCATGATACAGCCATCTGGATTTATGAGAATTTGTTGCATCGCAAATGACTGTAGTGCAGGGACGTGAAAGGACTATTGCAGAAGAGATATAATGTTTATTGCTTCAGGGATAGGAATATACGATTACTAATGTAAGATCACATCATAACTGATTGCAATATTCATAATGGTACTTTAGAAACTAAACATGTTACACTTAAATTAGCTATAAGTGCTAGTTAGGGAATTACAAGTGGAATTGATTTAACGACTAGTAGCACCTTTCATGGGAGGTATATACATCTTTCGCTCGAGTGGATCCCCGATAAGAGGATAACACGGGTGTTTGGATTTATTTGGTTATCGGATGGATTAAGGAAGGATTACATTAATGAGTAATTTCATAGAAAGTGACAATGGATTTTTTGTTAAGTTTTGCAGTCGTCGGGTAGCACTAAGCATGATCAAAAATGCCTGTTGCGATACACAATAGAAACCCATGTAGCAGGAGAAAAAGGTGGGTGATTTTAAATAACTGCGCGAGTTGATCATAGAAATGAATGGTGGGGTGTGCGTTATATGGGAACTGTGGCATCAAGCAAAGATAAAACACGCATAAAAAACAGTGTTCGAAACCGTATACTTTGACCGTAAGATTATTTCAAGAACTCCTTTCTAAACTGTAAAGCACATAAAGTGTTAACGTATTTTGACTTAATCATCACATCGAATATGACGAATATGCTTTCTACCATCACTTTTGCAACAGTCTCCATTGGATTGGAATGTTTTGCTGCATTCGTTAGTACAATGGCAAATGAAATGTCTGAATTTCATCTACTATCTGACCTAATGCAGATTAACTGCTGTGAAAAAATTATTCATTCAACAAATCAACAAATGTGTTGGTCAATTAGTTATTTTTGAAATTGGCGATTGGATAAAGTTTGAATGAAATTTTATAAAAGTCATTTCATAATCTTTTACATTTACAATTACATTTTTGGACTTTTAGACATCGTTAAATGTGACACCAATGTAAAACTTATCAAATAGATTTGAAACTAAATAATTATTTTTATGTAACCATCATTCAGTTAATCATTATAGGTGGTGTATATAAGATAACCCCTTCTGGAACTGGATAAGGTGACCTTGTAACATTCCACACACACTATGAATGTAATGTCTACTTGGTCTATAGTTCCATATATTTTCACAGAAACTTTAATTGTAAAAAAGTAATATTCATTGGAAAAACACCTTTTTGATCATTAAAAAACAAAATGGCTTTATAGTACAGGTTACATACGTTTGATTAATCTCTCCGAATCAATAAATCTAAGTTGATGAATGTCCTCTCATCCATTCTAGATTTCGAAAATGATGCGACTAAACCTCATTTATGAAATTTCCAAATGAACTATTGAGTCGAGAGCTCATATTGAGTTGAGTTGAGCAAGTTGAGCAATGTATATCACTCGCTCAGCAATTCCCGGGAATTTCGTTTTTTGATAAAAGCTATGGAATTTGGAATGAGTTAAAAAAAATGTTAATAACTTTACATTGAGATAAGATATTCATGTATGAATTGTAGTTATAATTTGTAGTTATTACATGAGGGTTCCATAACATTTAATGCATACTCCATAATCTACTTATCTTCATAATTACTAAGTATAGGATAAATCAGTTATTAAATGTTCGATTTTTGATACAGGGTATATCCCTCGGTAAATACAATACATCAACCATCGGTCCCTCCAGTCCATCGGGTTTTGTATTTCGCTCAGATATACCCTGTATCAAAAACCTCCCATTAGATAACCTCTATTTATAATATTTTTTTTATGTAAACTATATTTATACTAAAATGTTTTCTCTCATATAAATGAGACATACAATACAATAACTCAAGAATGGACTAAAGAAGTTGAGATAAATGCCAATCAACAAACAAGAGACTGACGCAATGACTTCTGTAGAATTAACCTAAATACCTAAATATGCCAAAGGGGAATTTATAGATACTCTCAGACTGTTTCATGGTTGCAGTGTACCCTTAGTATTTTTTATTATTTCATTAACGCTAAGTACAACCTTAAACAAATTATTAAGGTGACGACGTATGGAGGATAACACAAAAAACGAGAGCTTATTTTTTGATTGATGGGTTGTTTAAGCTGCAATATGCTTTAGCTAATGCCCTAACATTAAACCGTTAATAAATCCGTTAAAGCTGACGATTTCAATTTCGGATGTGAAATCATGCATACATACTACTAGGAATTATCTTACCGTCAACTGAGGATACGAAAAGTGATCTTGATATTATAAATCTGGGGATTTATATTAAGAGTACATTCTACGATTTTCTTACATGAGTTTAAGGAACCATTGGTTAACAAACTATTTCTTTCTGTGATATTTTCAATTGAAAATATTTTCTACGGTATCAATTATTTGATTATATATTATATATAATGTGGTCAATTCTCTTTATGGGAAATAGGGGACACGTATCTTCATTTAGTAATAGCATCAACTAACATTTATATATTTTGATATATATTGAATTTTCAGCATATAATCATTTTGATCCAAAAATACTAAAATGGTCACATGTTTTAAGAATATTTAATGAATAACTATAATCTAAATATAATCTACCTTACAGTTTAATTATTACTGATTTAAATCTAACGAGCAGCCTAACAAAAATTTGTTTCAATTTTAGAATATTTCTGGCTCATGTCATTCCCTTTCATGTCTATTTTCTAAAAATACCCAAACGTGCACACTTTATTTCAGGAAAACTCGAGATTCGGGAGAATTTAAACGTTTTTCACCCATTTTTGCACTTTGAATCCCTTATAACTTCACCAATTTATAACATATCGTGAATCTTTTGGGAGATATTGTGTTAGAGATTGTAAGGAATACATGTAGCTTGTAATTTTGTCACCCCCATAGATCTGATTCTGCCGTTAATGGCCACTTTTAGCAAAATGTGTGATGTTATTTGGTAAAGGTAAAATGCATTTTATTGCCAAGTAAATGTCTTCAGTACTATATATTCTTTATACGTATACATCCACAAGGGTGTCATGTGAAACATTGTTGGTAATACTTATACAAGAAAATAAAGCTGAATTGAATTGAATGTCCCTCTTGAAAGTGGTATGTAATATTATACTTGACCTTCTCTACATGTATGTATTAGTACAAGGAACTTAGTAGTTATGACTTGAACGGGTCATATTTATTTGCACACTCTGTACGAGTATATGGGTATTGTATTAGTTTATGTGTGAATTCCTTGAAACTAATAATTGAGTAAAATATCACTTAAGATATTTCTTCTTTTACAGCAACAGCAGTTCCAAGGGATCATGGTGCGGTCGACGAACTGGTCTGGAGAAGGTTTTATTGTTTATCGCCGCAGTATTACTTGCTGCTACAATTGCCTTAGCAATTGCTTTTGGGGTCACATCATCTGCAAACAAATCAGGTACTGTAAATTACGATTTTTATTGGTATTTTGTCTACAGCCTTTGTGACGTTTGCACGCAATAGACTAGATGCGAGTAGAAGTAATCTTCATTTTTTGTCATTAAGTATTCAAAATTCTGTCAAAGTGATGGCATATTTGAAATCTACATGTAAAAGTACATGTAGAAGTATGGTTTCGAAAGTTGTTTATCAAGTTTGAAAATTTAATTTTTGCAAAATGTGACTTATAGTTCGGGGAGATTCCCCATAGATCCCATGTTACAAAAATCACAAAAAGTGAAATTTATTTTCCTGTATAGGACAGATAGCATTTTCTTTTACAGGAGATGTTTTAAATTACGTAACTATTGGATACATTAGGGTGATATGAAAATTGAACCACTAAAACAGATGTAATTTATTTAAGGGGACTTTCTACTATACCCGCCATGTTATCTGACCCGAGCGAGCCACCTGGTGGTGAAACTGGTAACTACCTACTCGCATCTGTGTTATTCATAGGGTGCAATAATTGTACCTCTAACTTTCACCCTGGCTTTAAAAACCCCAAAGATAAAGATTCGCTACTGAACAATTCATTTAACCAATATGCAGTATGACAATCCTGAAAGACTCTACTCTATCTGTCCCTTTTGGTTCACGTCCTTTATATTCAAAAGTCAATGAGTTCTCTAGGGGTAAACATTTACCCGTATGTCTGTTTCTAAATATTCGAGTTTTTAAGCCTACGAATGCATTTCATTTTATGTTATTTTTCCAAATCGGAATGGACTTATGTTGAGAAGTAATTTGTTTATTTGCACGATTTTCAAACTTGAAAGCTTTCTTTGATAAAACATCAGCATCCGTACTCAACTTTTATAATCAAATGCATGGATTTCTTTGTTCGATCTTTTGATTGGCTGTTGTCATGACATCATCAACTTATTTCGTTCATCTCGTTGGGATCTCGACATTTCTCGATGAGTCTGAAGTATTTATACAAATGCTGCATAGTTCTGACAAAAAACAAAAATGATAACTGCAACCATATCTGCAGATCTGTACATTAAGGTAATAAAAACTGTTTTGTGACCGAAATCATTCAATGGGAAACTGAAGAGGTAAGGAGTTAGAGGCACATTCCAAATTCTTATATATTTCTCAGTTTTATACAATGTATTCAGTACAAATATGTATCTGGGTAATAAAGCTATTGCCATGGCTGCACGAATGGTGAAAATGCAGGGTTTAGTTTCTCTAAGCCAGTGATCTATAGCGCTAGAGAACAAATATAATAGGATTAGGTGACTAGACGCGTTCGGTCGCAAACAATAACTGCCTATATTGATACAACAATGACATCTTGAATTTATTTCTTTGTATAAAATATGTATGGATACGTTCTTGGGTTTTCAAATATTATTGCATTCCAAATAGATAGATCTGCTTCGTGATTATAAACAAACATAAAAGCTAATTAGCTCTAGGGCCTCCTAGATTAGTTGAAAATAGCGCATCAGGAAATGATTATCCGTTTTCTGATATCTTCGATTCAGAGGCGCTAGAGATGATTTGATAATTTCACGTGATGTGTTAAAGGAATTGGCGAGAATGGAAGTGATTACGTGATCATGAGTCATAATAATGCATAGTACATAAGAGGGGAAACCAGAGACTTGCAATTGACATTTTTTTGTTATTATAGGTGACAGTAGTCCTGTTACTAAACCCGATGACAGCACCTGTATGACAACGGAATGTGTCCAAACTGGTAACGTTTAAATTCCATGTAGTTCCTTTATATAATATGAACATATACTAGTTATACGGGTCTTATTGATTTGTATAAAAACTATATTTAATGCGTTTTCTAATTGTTAGATATTGTGACAAAATTGTGAGTTTCATTTTTGTTTTATTTTGAACTTTTATATGTGGAGTCAGTCGACTCTTTCAGAGAGTTTGATGGCTCAAATGTGTACATGCAGAATGTCACGTAGGCACTGGGATGTTTACTGATCAGCAGACTGTAGTGGAATAAATTAGAATAATTAAGTACCCAGCAACCGGTGATCAGCCAATCAGATTCTTTTATTTGAATTTCCCTCCAACTTAAGTTGTAGTTTTCCCATGATGCAACTTGAGGTGTCTGGATTTTATTGTTTGCAATTAACCACGTGAATCAGAGTAAACCAAGAACTTGAAGATACAAGACCTCGTCAGTTTGGATTTATTTATGTGCAAGCGTGTTTTATTTAATCTGTGGACTTATTGGAGCATTATTTTGGATATATTGGATTAGTTGCAGTAATCGTTAGATGCAGATTGTACTTGGTGCGACTATTGAAGAAAATACAAGACAACAGTCATTGTTTTGGTGAGTTAGCCATTTTCTTGATTGAGGTTGGCATAAAATGGGTAATTAGCTGTCCGCCACCTTGCTTTCTTGTTCCCACAATTCCCGGCGGTCGGCCATCTTTGATTTTTAAGGAAGTGACGTCATTTTGAGAAGTTTTGAGCTCCAGATTCTCTGAGTTTATTTGGCTCTGTCTAATCTCATTTCTTTGATCGATATTCGTGAGTCATTCTGCTCTGAGTATTGGTGGCTCCTAGTCATTACCCCTCCAAGTTATAAATGCTCCTACTTTGTCGAGGCGATCTGACTCTCACCCAGGGTTGTATGTTGAGGAAGGTTTACTCTCATCGGAGCCAAGGTTACATTACTGGAACTGAGGTGCTCCAAGGCGAGAGATAACAGCTCTGTCTAATCTCATCCTTTGATCGACATTCTAGAGTTGTTATTCTCTACAGAGGTTGTAATGAGGTTGCTCCTGCGAAGCGGTGACTCCGAGAGCAGAGGTTACTCTTTGGAGACAGTGTAGCTCATTGAGTGAGAGCACTCTTTGAGTAGAAGTTACTCTTTGGAGACAGTATAGCTCATTGAGTGAGAGCACTCTTTGAGTAGAGGTTACTCCTGAGACGAGGCGATTCCCGGGGCTGAGGTACTAGCAGTGTGTGGATCTCGTTCAAGAGTAGAGGTTACTCCTGAGACGAGGCGATTCCCGGAGCTGAGGTACTCCCAGTGTGTGGATCTCGTTGGAGAGCAGAGGTTTCTCCTGAGAAGTGACGACTCCAAGAGCAGAGGTTACTCTCGGAGCCTGGACCCCTTCCAAGAGACAGTGTAGCTCAAGAGTGAATTGAGCAGAGGTTGTAGAGAGGTATATCCTGAGAAGTGGTGACTCCAAGAGCAGAGGTTACTCTCGGAGCCTGAACCCCGTCCAAGAGACAGTGTAGCTCAAAGAGTGAAAGCACTCTTTTGAGGAGAGTTTGAGGGTGGTTACTCCCGTGACAAGGAGACTCCCGAAGCAGAGGTTACTTCCGGAGCCAGGGCTCCTTCCCAAAGACGAGATAGCTCAAGAGGGAGAGCTCTTTTCAAGCAGAGAGCAGAGCCGAGTATATCAGAGAGCAGAGCAGACAAGCAGAGCAGAAAGCAGAGTATGGCAAAGTAGAGTAGAGACGGACGAACTCAGAGCCAGAGTGTTTTGAACTCATACTTATACATAGAGACATTTGTATTTGTATTACTAGCCATAAAGGCATTTGAGGACATTTTGAAATTGATTGTTATAGTAATTATAGTGTTGAATAGATTGTTAAAATCCCGTAATTGATTGTTTTTTACATTGTGTTTTCCATCTCCTAGCTCAGTGACAGCTGAAGCACCAAACCAGCTCGGCGCCCGTGATAAACACCTCCGAATCCCTTATCATCGCCACCAGACCTTCTCCGAGGGAGTACGGGTACTCGGCGGGAGTCTGGCGCGCGACATTGGTGGCAGCGGTGGGATTTTTCACTGTTCCTAGAGATGGAGAGAAGCATGGAGATGTCAGAGGCAGGGAGAAGTCCAAGAACTTCTCACCACGGCGGCTCAATTGATGATCCAATGGGTATCCCAAAGGGGAGGACACTCAGGAGGACACCGGAGCCAGACGACACAGTGGTTTTTAAAGGTGGCCCCAGAAACCTGGAGCTGGAGACCCAAGATACTCTTCCTTTGGAGTCAAGGGACTCGGTTCTGGATCCAGAAAAGTATGGTGCCATGGGTGGCGCAGAGAGATGTTTGCATGTTCCTGAACAGAGACCATGGCCGAGAGGGGCCCAAGACAGTACTGGGTATTGGTCAGAGTCAAGGATGCAGTCCAGGATGCAGAGTGAGTTTACTCCCTCCAAATTTCGTACTCCTGGAGTACTAGGCAGACAGGACCAGCCCTTGCCTGTTACTTCCACAGAGATCAAAAGTGATCGGGGAGTATCCAGGAAGCCCACATCAAGTGAATATGCTCAAAAGAAGAGCAAGCTTGAACTCATTAAAGTGGAGCAAGATGTGGAGTCTTTAAAGCAGGACGTTCTGGGTATCAAAGATGAATTGGTATCCCAGACTTTTCAGACGAGACAGCAGCTTCATCATCAAGAAGAAAAATTGACTCAAGGCCAAGAAGAGATGAAGTTGGACTTGACACGACAGATGGGCCAGATACATGAAACCCTGGTGAATTTAGCACCTTCAATTGCTTCCTCTCGAAGTTCCACTCCACGTAGAAGAAGTCACAAAGACCTGAGGGAGAAAGAGATTGAGGCAGATATGATGAATGAGGGAGTTGCTGAGAAACGGCTACGAGAGACTACAAGGAAGTTGAGTTTGATTACTCATGAAGAGAATCCTCAACTCTCTGCAGCGAGATGGCAGGAGCAGCTGCTAATGCCTGCAACCAGGAGAGGTCCACCTCGCCTACCAGAACCATTGCAGTCCTGGAGAGAGGAAAGGCCCCCTAGACTAGAGATGCCAGAGAGGGAAATATGGCAGCGTATCCCAGGGACACATGCTGATGAACCAAGGAGTAGAATTTCCTTTTGTAGAGATCAAGACCCCTGAGAGATCCATGGTACCGGACACTGCTAAGTGGGCAGAGCATCAACAGCAGCCCTCCCATTGTCCCATGCCTGTTGATGATCAAGAGATGGACGGGAGAGTCTCTAAGAGTTGTCCTGCTCCTGGACTCCCTGAGGCCCCTGAGGGGATGTTCCCGGTGTCCAAACCTTGGAGTTTAAGGAGACAGGATCGAATGTTTATACCTGCAGAGAGACCTGAAACTCAACCAATGGGCGTGTCCCCAGAGAGAAGACCAGCTCCAACTATACCTGACCAGGATACCACTGAAGGAGTGCATGGTAAACTAGTTGAGAAGTCAAGAGACTCTGCAGCTGAAGAGACCAATAGAGCCCTGCTTCTTGCTGAGCAGGCCATGCAAATGTGCAAATCAAACAATGAGCAGTTGGTGAAAGCACTGAGCTCATCTAATACCGAGAAGAAGACTAAGATAAAGCCAAACCAGTTATTTGATGGGAAGACACCATGGCTGGATTACAGGGTGTACTTCCAGAACTGCATCGACAGTAATGGCTGGAGTGACGAGGAGAAGCGGCAACAGTTGACGAACCAGTTGAGAGGAGATGCCCAGCAGGTAGTGCAAGAGCTGGAGCAAGGCCACTCCTATGATGAGCTGCTTGAAGCACTCACTAAAAGGTTTGGACCAGGTGAAAAGGCTTCCATGTATGAGGCAGAACTCAATACAAGGACAAGGAAGCCCAAGGAGTCATTACAAAGTCTTGGCCAGAGCATAAGGAGACTAGCTGCTCTTGCATATCCCGAGATGCCTCGCTCTTCTCAGGATAGGTTGGCGAGGAAATGTTATGAGAATGCCATAACAGATGATGAGGTGCGAGCAGCTGTCCATCGGAGAGACCCCAAGTCTCTTGACCAGGCCATAGAAGAGGCTCAGAAGGAGGAGGCATACTTGGAGTCAGAGCGAATCCGGAAAGGCCTGAAGCCAAGACAGCGTGATCATCACATTGCAGCCGTAACAGATGACTCACAAAGAGACGAACTTCTGAAGATGATGAAGGAGTTCCAAGAGGGGATTCAAAAGGGAATGACTAAAGAGTTAAGGGAGTTAAAGGAGGGAATCAAGGAGATTGCAGGATCTGTAAAGACCTCCAAAGAGAAGAGAGGACCCTTCATCTGTAGGAAATGTGGAGAAGAAGGGCATACAGTGAAGAGATGCCCCTTGATCATTTGTTTTAACTGCTCTGAGGCAGGACACATGGCAGTTGAGTGCCGGAGACCCACGAAAAAGAGAGAGCGGGATAATGACCGCTCTGGGGCAAATAGTAACTCAACAGTCAACCCAGTTCATTTCCTTGATCGGAGTGGTCAAGAAGTCACAAACCCCGAGAGAGCTGATAATGTTGGAAAGGTAGTGGCCATGGTGAAAATCTGTGGAGTAACTATGGAATTCTTGATAGATACCGGAGCTGTAGTTTCTCTCATGAGTTTGCATAGCTTCAATCGGATTTACTACAGAGATAGACCAAAGTTGAAATCAGCGAAAGATGTGTTGCTTCAAGCAGATGGCTCTCCACTAGCATCATATGGATCATGTAACCTGGAAGTAGATTTGGATGGAAGAATCACTCCCCTCGACATCACAATTGCAGAGATTGGCCAGGATGGAATATTGGGGACGGATTATCTTATGGCTAGTAAAGCCAACATCCAATATGGTTCCCTGCAGATGAACTTCCAAGAACCGGAGGACTCATCAGAAGCAAAGACTCAAGAAGAAGTCCCGAGTTGCAGTAGCTCTCTGTTGGGAGGGACATCCTCATCCAGTATTAGGAGGCTAGAAAGTTCACCGACTCCTCCCCAGGAAA